TACCCGACTCCCAAGAGGATGCTTCCCTGATCGCTACAATCTTAACCTTTTCAAGTCTAGGGTTAACCGTTATCTACACCACTTATCCGTATAAACTATACCTCTTATTCTATAACCTTCTACCTAGAGTGGATCTTGGGATCTAGGAAATATGAAACATGGCTAGGTTTAAAGTTGTGAGCGCCCCACACCGTATATCGTACTAGGGACAACTCATATTCCCTAGACATTTGATATTTTGGCGATGCCTTAGACGCCAGAGATTAGTCATAGACCCCCGCCCGCTGCCTCTGTGGAAGTAGTGCCTGGGAAGTTCAGCACTTTTTAACCCCGACTGTGTTCTGGCTCATAGGCTCAAGGTAGCTATTTAATGAAGCGACTCTCTGAGCCGATGGAGTGCTGACAGAAAGAGGAAATATTTCGATGGTTGTTGAAGAGGGTGGGGCGAAGGGAAAAAGTGTGTGTCGGGTAAGGAAGGGAAATGAAAAGGAGAGAGAGAGAGAGTGGGGCGGGGCGGGTGATGATGCAGCACTGTAGTCACTTTGTATCGATTACTTTGTCGACCCAGTTTTTGATTGACTGACACAAGAAAGTCGTCACGAAAAATCTCTCAAGGCAAATTTGCGGCGGGAACACCGGCTGACAAAACGATTTAAATATAAATTGGATGAACACAAGAAAAAAAAGATATGGTGGAGTCGAAAAGTGAGAGAGACAGATAGAGAAAGAGAGAGAGAAGGAAGGAGAGAGACAGAGAAGGAAGGAAAGAGAGAGAGAGAGTTAGAAAGATAAAGACAGACAAATAAAGAGGGAAGGAGAGTTATAGATAGATAGATAGATAGATAGATAGATAGATATGCACAAACTATAGTAGATAGATAGGTAGATATGCACAAACTATAATAGATAGATAGATAGATAGATATGCACAGACTATAATAGATAGATAGATAGATAGATAGATAGATATGCACAAACTATAGTAGATAGGTAGATATGCACAAACTATAATAGATAGATAGATAGATCGATAGATATGCACAAACTATAATAGATAGATAGATAGATAGATAGATGGATAGATATGCACAAACTATAGTAGATAGATAGATAGATATGAACAAACTATAATAGATAGATCGATATATATAAACAAACTATAATAGATAGTTAGATAGATATGAAAAAACTATAGTAGATAGATAGATATGCACAAACTATAATAGATAGCTAAATAGCTAGATAGATAGATATGAAGAAACTATAGTAGATAGATAGATAGATAGATAGATAGATAGATAGATAGATAGATAGATATGCACAAACTATAATAGATAGATAGATATGAAGAAACTATAGTAGATAGATAGATAGATAGATAGATAGATAGATAGATCCAATGAGGGAGAGTTGGCGAGAAATAGATAGATAGAGACAGATGAGTGAGTTAGATGGAGATAGAGCAAGACATAGAAAAATAGAGTGATAAAGAGATAGAGAGATGGATATATATATATATATATATATATATATAGGTAGACGGATAAATACATAGAGAGCTAGATATATATATAGACAGAGAGTTAAGGAGAGAGAGAGATATAGAGATAGAAAAGATAGAGATATATATATATATATATATATATATATATATATATAGATAGAAAAGAGTTATATATATATATATATATATATATATATATATATATATATATCGAGAGAGAGTCAAAGATATAGAGAGAAGATAATATACGAAAGATGGAGAATTGCATAAATGAAGAGGAGAAACAGAGAGAGAGAGAGAGAGAGAGATAGAGAGAATGATGAAAATAAGCAGAAAGAAGAGAGAGAGAGAGAGAGAGAGAGAGAAAGAAAGATAAAACGTCCTCGGTATGACGATAAACAACATCCAGCAGAAAGACGTACGATCGGGAGCTTTTGAGGATCATGAAACCAGCCCTTAATTTATTTTGTTCCTAGGTTCACCATGGATTGTGGTTGTAGCACCTGTTTGGGTCTCAGCTATGGGCAAATAGGGAATCCCCACACAAAACACTAAGAAAATATAAAAATACATTTTTATAGCGAAAAATACTATTTATGTAAAAAAAAAAAATACCAACAAAACATATTTATATTAAAATTACCAAAATACATTTTATGACCAACAATACATTTTATTTGTAGCTGAAGGTATACAATTGCATTCAAAATCCCATATTTTCCAGCTTACAAGACGCAGCGGCATGGAAGACGCACCCTAATATTGGAAAGAAATTTCTAAGAAAAAAAGTCATTCTCATACACCAACACATTCAGCATGCGTTCCTCACATATTGGCGCAAACATATTGTTTAGATTAATCACTCGTCCGATTATGTTTGTATGGCAATGACATACGAGTCAAGAACAGAAATGCTCCTGCCGCTACTAGTAAGCTAGTAAGCAGAGCATGTTTAAGGATGTGGCTCGGCTCCAGGAAGGTTTGTAGTCTTGGAAATACTTTTAACAGCTAAGTACCGAAGTTATATAATATAAAATGTTGGATCAGATAGATAGCTAACATTATAGTGTAATGACTCAACATACAAATCCACGACCCTATCAGTCAAGCCAATAAAGTGACCGCCCAAGCTTACTTGAACGTCGGTGTTCCTTTTCGTTTTGGAAGACGCACACGTATTTTTCAGGAGAAAAAAAAAGTTGCTTCTTGTAAGCCGGAAAATACGGTTTATTTAGTTGAAGCCGTACAATTCTTTTAAAAATACCGTAATGAAGTGTTGATATGCTACTAAAAATCATCCACCCAACCAACATGAAAGAACTCTTTCATTTGGCGAATCTCTCATTGCTTTATCGCTACTCTCATGGAAAGTTCTCGGACGAACTAGATTCCTTGGGTCATTAACGGCTAGGACCCGCCATGATATTTAAATTGTAGCAAATCACCCACATTCCCTCTGTATTCCATCGGTGAGGAGTAAGAGCTTCTCAAACAGCTTCCCAGGTCCACTCTGACACGGGGTAGGAACGTCTTTCGATCGCAGCTCTGGGCAAATAGTAAATTCCTACGCTGAGAGAGAGAGAGAGAGAGAGAGAGAGAGAGAGAGAGAGAGAGAGAGAGAGAGAGAGAAAACTGAAAGTATAGATTAAAAAAAAAAGAGAAGAATCTCCAGCCAGAAAAAATTCCTCAGTCTCTCAAAGAAAATCAAATTTTGACATTAAATGACCGATAAGGAATTGATACGCCATTAAACAAACAAAGAGATGAACAGAATGAGAGTGGAGGAAGGACAAAAAGGGGAAAAGAGAGAATAAGAAGAGAAAGGGGGAAGGAGAAATGAGAGAAAAGAGGAAGAAGAGTAACGAGGAAGGAGAGAAAGGAGGAAGGGGAGAAAGGAGGAAGGGGAGAAAGGAGGAAGGAAAGAACAAGGGGAGAAGAGAAGAAGGAGAGTAAAGAGGAAGAAGTGTAAGGAGAAAGGAGAGAAAGGAGAAAGAGGAAAAAGGGAGATTAAGAAGGAAGGAGGGAAAAGAGAAAGGGGAGGAAGGAGAGAAAGGAGGAAGGAGAGAAAGGAGGAAGGGGAAAAGAGTGGAAGTAGAGGAAGGAGAAAAGAGAGAAATGAGAAAGTGGAGAAAAGAGAAAGGGGAGATAGGAGGAAGAAGAGTAAGAAGGAAGGAGAGAAAGGGGAGAAACGAGGAAGGAGAGAAGGAACAAGGGGAGAAGAGAGGAAGGAGAGGAAGGAGAAAGGAAAGGAGAAAGAGGAGAAAGGAGGAAGAAGGGTAACGAGGAAGGAGAGAAAGGAGAAAGGGGAGAAAGGAGGAAGAAGAGTAAGTAGGAAGGAGAGAAAGGAGAAAGGGGAGAAAGGAGGAAGGAGAGAAGGAACAAGGGGAGAAGAGAGGAAGTAGAGGAAGGAGAAATGAGAGAAATGAGAAAGGGGAGAAAGGTGAAAGGGGAGAAAGGAGGAAGAAGAGTAAGAAGGAAGGAGAGAAAGTAGAAAGGGGAGAAAGGAGGGAGAAAAGAAGGAACAAGGGGAGAAGAGAGGAAGTAGAGTAAGGAGAAAGGAGAGAAAGGAGAATGGGGAGAAAGGGAGAAGAAGGGTAACAAGGAAGGAGAGAAAAGAGAAAGGAGAGAAAGGAGGAAGGAGAGAAGGAACAAGGGAAGAAGAGAGGAAGTAAAGGAAGCAGAAATGATAGAAAGAAGAAAGGGGAGAAAGGAGAAAGGGGAGAAAGGAGGAAGAAGGGTAAGAAGGAAGGAGGGAAAGGAGAAAGGGGACAAAGGAGGAAGGAGAGAAAGGAACAAGGGGAGAAGAGAGGAAGTAGATTAAAGAGGAAGAAGTGTAAAGAGAAAGGAGAGAAAGGAAAAAGGGGAAAAAGGGAGAAGAAGAGTAAGGAGGAAGGAGATTAAGAAGGAAGGAGAGAAAAGAGAAAGGTAAGAAAGGAGGAAGGAGAGAAAGGTGAAAGGAGAGAAAGGAGGAAGGAGAGTAAGGAGTAAGGAGAGTAAGGAGGAAGGTGAGAAAGGAGAAAGGGTAGGAAGGAGAGAAAGGAGATAAAGGGAAAAGGAGAGAATAAGAAGAGAAAGGAGGAAGGAGAGTAAGGAGGAAGGAGAGAAAGGAGAAAGGGGAGGTAGGAGAGAAAGGAGAGAAAGGGAAAAGGAGAGAATAAGAACAGAAAGGAGGAATGAGAAAGGTGAAAGGAGAAAGGAGGAAGGAAGAGGAAAGGAGAAAGGGAGAAAGGGGAGAGAATAGAAAGAGAAAGGAGGAATAAGAGAAAGGAAAGGAGAGAAAGGAGAAAGGAGGAAGGAGAGTAAGGAGGAAGGAGAGAAAAAGGAGAAAGGGGAGGAGAGAAAGGAGGAAAAGGAGGAAAGGGAAGAAGAGAGGAAGAGAGAATGATAGAAGAAGAAAGGAGGAAGGGGAGAAAGGGGAGAAAAGGGGAAGGAAGGAAGAGGAAAGAGAGAAAGGGGACAAAAGGAAGGAGAGAAAGGAACAAGGAGAAGAGAAAGATTAAAGAGAGTGTAAAGAGAAAGGAGAGAAAGGAAAAGGGGAAAAGGAGAGAGAAAGGAGGAAGGAGATTAAGAAGGAAGGAGAAAAAGGGAAGAAGTAAGGAGGAAGGAGAAAGGGAAGCAGAAAAGGAATTAGAGAAAGGAGAAAGGGAGGAAGGATAGAAAAGGGGAAAGGGAAAAGGAGAGAATAAGAAAGAAAGGAGCAAGGAAAGGGAAAGGAGAGAAAGGAGGGGAGAAAGGAGGAAGGAGGAGAGAAAAGGTAGGGGAAAAGGGGAAAGGGAAAAGGAGAGAAGAAGAGAAAGGAGGAAGAGAAAGGAGAAAGGGAGAAAGGAGAGAAAGGGAGAAAAAAGGGGAAAAAAGGAGGAAGAGAGGAAAGGTGAAAAGGAGAGAAAGGAGGAAGAAGTAAGGAGGAAGGAGAGAAAGGAGAAAGGGGAGGTAGGAGAGAAAGGAGTGAAAGGGAAAAGGAGAGAATAAGAAGAGAAAGGAGGAAGGAGAGAAAGGAGAAAGGGGAGGAAGGAGAGAAAGGAGAGAAAGGGAAAAGGAGAGAATAAGAAGAGAAAGGAGGAAGGAGAGAAAGGTGAAAGGAGAGAAAGGAGGAAGGAGAGTAAGGAGGAAGGAGAGAAAGGAGAGAGGTAGGAAGGAGAAAGGGAAAGAGAAAAGGAGGAGGAGAGAAGAGAAAGAGAAGGAAGAAAGAGAGAAAGGGAAAGGAGAGAATAAGAAGAGAAAGGAGAGAAAGGGAAAGGAGAGAAAGGAGGAAGGAGAGGAAGGAGGAAGGAGAGAAAGGAGAAAAGGGAGGAAGGAGAGGAAGGAGAGAAAGGGAAAGGAGAGAATAAGAACAGAAAGGAGGAAGGAGTGAAAGGAGAAAGGGGAGGAAGGAGAGAAAGGAGAGAAAGGGGAGAAGAGAGAAAGGGGAGTAAGGAGGAAGACAAATAAAGAAATCTTGCGGCAACATATTGTTAAAATACCATTTCCGGTACCATCACCGAAGTTAAGCAACGTCGAGCCCGGTTGATGAGTGACCACTTGGAAATACCAGGTGCTGTAAGCTTGTATGTGCGGATAATGTAATTGATAATCTCTCTGAAATCTTAGTCAGAAAACTGAGTTCCAATTTTGACAGCTATTTGCACGTAAAATGAATATAACGATCCCATCCAGAATTGAAACTCGGCTCTCTGATAAACAATTATTCATTACGTCACCTGCACTTCCAATCTGACACCACCTGTTATTCCCAAGCTGTCACTCATCAACGTTGCTTAACTTTGGTAATGAAGATCTGTCAAGAATGTTGAAATGTAAAGCCTGTTCGTAAATTTACTGTTGATGATCCGGGGTTTACGGCCATATCATGTTGAAAACACCAATTCCCGTACGATTATTGAAGTTAAGCAATGTTGAGTTTGGTTAGTAATTAGATGTGTTATCGCTTGGGAATACCAGCTGCTATAAATTAGCCATTAAAAAAATGTGTAACATGGCTGCTCGGTTTTACATCAACAACCATCTTCACTTGACTTTCCACCAACCGATTATTGCTTTTTTTTCCCCAGCCTTTAAACCAGCCGCACATCCAGGTCACTCATCTAGTCTCCACGTTGCTTAACTTCAATGATAATACGAGAACAGGAGTTTCAACGGGATAGAACCATAAGCGGATTGTGCCTCAAGCTTACAGCAACAGGTATTCTTTAGCGGTCACCCATCTTGGTTCAGACCAGGCTTCACATCGCTGATCGTATGTGAACCGGTGTTTGCAACGTGATATGGTCATAAGCCATGCAAACAGCAGCGGATTGGCATAGATAAATCACCACAACTGACCTCCGACCTCCAGAAGATGAGTTCCAAGGCAATGTTGTCTGTGTGATGGAATCTTCAGAAATATTCTTCATTTACTGTTCTAAATCACAATGAGAAAATAAATGAGTATTTATACTTCCAGCAGCTGCAACGTGGCTAGAAATGTTTGATAAAAAAGCATCCTGAGGTCAAAAGTAAAAAAAAAAAAAATTGTTGTTCTCAATGACAACGCCAGTCAACACACGGCAAAAATTATTTTTAAATCAAATTTACCAAAAGCAAGGCAATAATGCCACTAAGACTCAATGATTTTCTGGGTAGAGAATATTTAGAAAACTTGGAGGAGCGTGAACAATAGAAGAGTAAGCAGGAACACAGCAGATAACGATTGACATTGCATTCGTCTATCTTTTTGAGATGAGTTATTGTAATTATTTACACTATGTTCATTGCTCATCTTCGTTGCTATATTCTCGACGTTTCTATCGTTGTACGCGCCGGCCTTCTCCGGGATCTGTTTATATTTCTTGGGGTATTGTGATTATTTACACTATTTACATTGTTCGGACTGCTGTCCTCATCTTCGTTGCCATAATCACGACATTTCGGCTGTGGTACGTTCCGGCCTTCTTCAGGATCTGTCTATATTTCTGAGATGGGGTATTGTAATTATTTACACCATTTACATTGTTCGCACTGCTGTCCTCATCCTTGTTGCCATATTCATGATATTTCAGCTATTGTAAGCTCCGGCCTTGTTCAGGATCTGTCTATATTTCTGGAATGAGTTATTATAATTATTTACATTATTTACATTGTTTGCACTGCTGTCCTCATCTTTGTTGCCATATTCACGACGTTTCGGCTGTTGTACGCTCCGGCCTTCTTCAGGATCTGTCTTTGTTTCTGAGATGAAATATTGTAACTATTTACACTATTTACATCGTTTGGACAGTTTTTCTAATATTTATTGCTGTATTTGCGATTTTTTTTGAATAAATGGAATTAATTTCTACAGAGAAGAAGAAAAGGGAGACGAAAAAAGAAAGAAAAAGGAAAACAAAATATTAAAAAATATTTAAAAAATTCGGTCTGAAGAGAAAAAATATTTAAATTATATTCACGAAACAAATTATACCCGAATGAATTTTTAACGATTATTTTTAAGGATTATCTGTACTTATTAAGGATTATTTGTACTTATTATTATTACATTTGTCTGTTACTTACATTGAGCTGTCATTGGATTAATGACCTCCTTAGAATGATCCCTACTAATCATCAATTGATATTATATATATATATATATATATATATATATATATATATATATATATATATATATATATAGGAGAGGGGAGATAAAAAGTGAAGAAATCATGAGAAATGAAATCAAAGTATTTAAGAAAAAATAAATAAAACGGAAAGCGAAAAATCGATCGATCAAATGTAATAAGAGACATCTTTGATAGGACGCCGGTGTTTTTGATGTTCAAAGCAATCTTTGCAGTAATTTCCTTCCGACTTATTTTGCATCAGCCACAAAAAAAGACCAGTTCATCTGTCAAGATATTTTTAGATCAAAGGTCACCAATTCTGGCCTGACAGAACTGGAATGGTTTGTTGCCTGGTTGGCTGGTTTTTTGTCTGTGTAATATTGTGTTGACTATCTCTGACAGACAAAAAAGGGACTCTCTCACCAATTAGACATATATGCATTTTTATCTCTCTCAGATTATTCACATCTATCTATCTATCTATCTATCTATCTATCTATCTATCACCTCACTATATATATATATATATATATATATATATATATATATATATATATATATATATTTCACTCTCTTTTCTTTCTCTCTGAAACACGTTTTTCTCTTGTTATTTATTTCGGATATTACGAGTGTTAGTAAATAGATCTATCTCAGTTACTTCATATCTATCTATCTATCTATCTATCTATCTATCTATCTATCTATCTATCTATCTCCGTCTGTTCATTATCTATCTATCTATCTATCTATCTATCTATCTATCTATCTATCTATCTATCTCCGTCTGTTCATTATCTATCTATCTATTCCCGTCTGTCCTATCTATCTATCTATCTATCTATCTATCTATCTATCTATCTATCTATCTATCTATGTCTACTCCTATCTGCCTACCTACCTATCTATATATCGTTTGGGCTTTTGCTTTTCTTGTCAAATATTAACCTCTCGGAATCCCGTAGTTTTTAAAAACCTACTGACATACCAAAAGCCTTCCTTCTTAGTTTATTTATACATTTCTGTCGAGATGTTCAACGTAATTTATTTCCGAAGCATAAATTTAGTTTTTTTCTTAATCTAAATTAATATTTAGAATCTAAATTAACTGAATGTAGCACTACGTTAAACCTAGACGCAATTCTATAAATACAAAAACCTACCCGTGATTACATGACAAGACGCCGAAATTTCCACTTCCAATCTATGATACATGATTGTTTAATTCGTCTGCTAGTCAAGGACAATCTGATTCTTAGCGATAACCATGATAATAATCATTCTGATTTGCCACCTGATTTACAGTAATGCCTGAAATCACATTAGTTATTTTAGCTATACTTAAAACTAACTACATTAAACTTTATAACATTTTTACAGATTATTTCTATGACAAATACAAATAAAGTTATATTTTTTTTAAAGTGCACACGAACTTTATAGACACCTTTTATATATATATATATATATATATTTATATATATATATATATATATATATATATATATATATATATATATATATATATACCAGTCAGCCATGGCATTTAGTAGTAGAAATACGCAAATACTCTAGCAATCAAAACAGATCCAATGTATCCGCAGGAAATCTAAGGCCATTTATTCTTTTCATCCTTATAAGTGAGCAATGGTGTGAGACTCGAAGCCAGACCGTTAATCTTTTAAACTCATATATTCGAATATATATAAACATAAACAAATATTTGTTTTAAAATATATATACGTGTCAATTAGTTTATTTTTGCTGTTTATTTGCATTTATAATTGTTTTACAAATATATTGTGAGCTTTAAACTACGTTTTTTTCGATATATGATTATAAATCCATTTTATGGATTTTCAATACAACATGACAAAGACGATGTACATAAGAACAAGACTTATCCAAACAAATAACTGAAAGTTTTATAAGATCAGCGCTCCGTTTATATTGATAAGGTTATAATATATGAATATGTCCTGAAGATTGTTTATTAGACCGAAACGTCCGACGTTGACATATTAACACTAAAACAGTATAAATTGTATATAGGATTTTTGTTTGTTTTTTTCCGTATATATTTTTCTTCATACTGTCGGATCTATATCCATATATTTGCTTACATATATATATATATATATATATATATATATATATATATATATATATATATATATATATATTTCCTCTCTTTCTTTCTCTCTGAAACCCGCTTTTCTCTTGTTATTTTTTCTTTTTATTTCTTTATAAATTATGTTCGTTTTTATTACCATTTTTATTTTGGGACGTTTGCAATCAAGTGCCTGAACATATGTTGCCTTACAATTCTAACCGGGCCTTAGAAGTGTAGTTTTAAGTTCAGTAAATCCGATAGCAAACAAAGGAAGCGATATAAACACAAAATCAGCTCGTGTTGTTCAGATAAAAAAAAAACAAAAAAAACATGGCGGGAATTTTTGGTCTGTTTTTTTTGTTTTTTTTTAAATATGTGGCAACAATACTGCAAAAAAACCTCCAACGTTGCCACATTGGTGCAAGAGAATGTAATGCTCTAGCAGGACTTAAAAGCAACACCTGCGGTGCCTCATTTTGTCGATGGATCAAACGTGAGTAGTATAGTTCAGGAATCCGAAGAAAGAAAAGAGGAAGTGATATCGACATTATTCTCGTGTTTGTTGCTCAGATATAAATACACACGCCGGAAAAGATGGTCTGCTTCCTTTTTTTATGAGACAAAAATAAGAGGCAAATCGGTCGGCCATAGATTAAGAAGGTTTATTTTTTCACATAAAATCGCAGATTTCTTTGTGTAATGATAAACAAGTTGAAATATTTTTATGGATTGACATCGTTTCTACATGATGATAAACCAAAGTTCGTTTTTACTGCTGTCGCTTTGGGATATTACGAGTGTTAGTAAATAGATCTATCTCAGTTACTTCATATCTATCTATCTATCTATCTATCTATCTATCTATCTCCGTCTGTTTATTATTGTTGTGGTAGGATCCACCTAATTTGCATAGTGGAGTACCGACCATATAAATATGGTTGGTACCGGGAAGAGAGGGAGGAATCAAGAGATTCAACCAGAGACTCTGCCCGACTGCGACTCAGTCAACACATTCTCCAGGAACGGTCTTGCCAGGAATATACAAAAGACTATATGTAAATATTGTGTACACTTTCTTGTTTCAATACATTTTGTTCTAAGTACATTTTGTGTTGCATTATTATTCCATGCATTAGTCAAGTTTCAACATCTATCTATCTATCTACCTATCTATCTATTTAGCTAGCTAGCTAGCTATCTATCTAGGACAGACCTTGGTAATCGTTAAAGACAAGCACTAAGTCATTCACAACATGTT